TATCAAATGGCAGGCGTCTTGATGGTTATCATTAGCCCTTTAGTTGACTTCAGGCTTCACAGAGAGGAAGGAACATCAAATTGGAAAAAGTCGAGAGGGGGGGGGGGAACAGAAGAATGTTTCAAAGATGTAAGAGACAAACACAAAGGTAGAAAAAAGGTGAGGTGAGTACCGTGTTAATAGTCGAATATGGCATAGAGTGAGGTGATGGTAGTTTGAAGTGAGAAGTCAACTGCCAGTTAATAGACTTTTTTGCCGTATGAATATACGTTGCCCAGGGTGCACCACGTGGAGGTAAGTCTCCCGCACACCCCTCCTGGCTACCTCATTAAAATAGGCAAATGAAAATTTAATAAAAAATAAACATGTGTGCGGTCCTCTTTCAAAATAAGCTCTTTTGGTACTAGACTCGCAACAGAAGGCCCCATTGTCGTTTGAAACATGCTCAATACGTCTATAGCCTTCGCCGGATATCGCTAAAACTCTTCACCTCGGCGGCATCAGTCTACACGTGAGTGCGGTTGGGTGGATTTTTCAAAAAAATAATTCGGGTGTTAAAGGGTTAAGATCGTTTTAGGTCAGCAGAACTCAGTAAGGCATGTAGTTAATCAATCTTATTAAAGAGTGAAGTTCTTCAATGCACTACGCAATAGTTATTTCTTTAAATGCCACGCTTATGCCTTGTTTTTCTCTACTTTTAGTGATAGCCGCTGACGGTTGGTCATGGACCGAGGTAAAGGTAACTCCGGGCTTAAATACCTCCAACGTGTTTCTCAGTCAATCACATTTTCTTCTCAATTCAAAATTGATTTGTCTTCCCTTTGTCCATAATGGGCAGACGCTGAACGGGGACCATATTGGTCATCAGGAGATCAAAAAGGATACTACTGAAAAGAAGTGGCCCATAGTAGCACTTCTTTCTCATTTACCCTTCAATAACATTCGTTCTCACCTGAGTAGGCACCACCGAACCCGACCTCCTAGACATCCCTCATCACCTCAACTAGAGTCTACTCGTCGATTTTCTCTTTCTCGACGTTCCTCTTTCTTGAATCCTCCCAAATTTTCTCAAAGCAGTTTTCAGAATCCCAACCCTCTTATCGCAGTTTTTGATGAGCTTCCAGGTGTGTATCCTCCAATTTCATAAACATAATGGCTTGAAGTCTCTTAAGTCTCTCACTCTTCTAAGTTGTGTCCTTCCTTTAGATCCCCTTGGGACTGAGGGTTCAGAGGGTCAACCTCTACGCGGAATAATTATTCCACGCACTCACCAAAATCCCACTCGCATAATCTCCCCTTCTAGACCCCGACGGGATAGACGTAAACCAACCATGTCAAGAAGCAACGGTAGTGGTGGTAGAGGAGGAGATGAGTATCATATCGACGACTCCGAGGCAGATTCTGAAACTGAAATTCTTGCCATCTACACTCTTGAAATCATTGGAAATATCGAGAGCAACAATGGTTCAGTACCTTCTCAACCTCTATCTGGTATAATCAATGGTCCATCGGATCGTGATTACCACTCAGACAATCTTCCAATCTCCCGATCTTTTTCAGCATTTGCATATGGTCTGGGTTCTCTCCTACTATTTGGTGTGCCCCAAACAAGTTTGGTAGAGTTCGAAAACGGCGATGAAATGCGTTCGAGTGACAAGATTGTGTGGAACATTACTGGGCGCGGATTAGTGTGCGGTTATGATGCTCTTTGCTTGAAAGTGTAAAATTGAAGAAAGTCCCTTTCACACTTATTACTTATACCGCTCTACTATTTCTCCCCCCCCCCTTTTAATATCATTTGCACAAAGTGGACATATATTGTTGAAAAAAAATGCTTTCGTGAACATACTTTGACTTATGTTCTCTTTGGGTTCGGTGTGTTTCACAATTTTTGCACTAAAAAGACAAGGAAGGTGATTGTATCGAATTGCCAACTTTTGGGTACCATCTACGTGTTCTTGACTGACTATTGCGCTTTTCTACATGAATTTCAAGGATCCCATTGGGGTTTTTTTGCAAACCGTACGGTGACTGATTTCATGTACTCCTCGGTTTTGCCGCCTTTTACGCATTTCTTTCTTACTCGATCCCTAACCTGGTGATTTTGGAAAGTCACAATTGTTTCTTGCCCTATGGAAAATCAGTAGCCTTTGGGTGGATCTTCTCTGCTTTTAGTTGTGGGTCTCCCTAATTAGTTTCATTTACTGGATATTTTCGTCACAGTGCTTAAATATTTTCAATTTTAGTTGTGTGGAAAGACTGAAATCAGCCAACAGACAGCAAAGGAATGTTGAGGTATCGAGAAATTGCATAATTCATCTTTGTGTTTCGAATAACAGTAATAATTCGTCCGTTGGTTTGCAACACATACTTGTTAGCAATATGCGGAGATTATTGACAAGTCTCGTAATCAGTAACGTCGATCTTTCCAGTGATAGGTAAAGTAGCTTAACGTGAGAATAAGTGGAGATTATCTCACGATTAATTTTTTTATCAGAACTCCAATAGCTTTACAGTTTACTACTTTAATGTCAATCAATCGATATTAATAGGGGATCACGAAGGAGGCATAGAACTGTTTAAAATTATTCATTTATTTATTTCAAATGGCAGGCGTTTTGATAGTTATCATTGGTTCTTTAGCTTACTTCGGACTTCAAAGAGAGGAGGGGAACATCAAAGTGACAAAAAGACGAGAGGGGAACAGAATAATGATTCACAGATTTGAAAGAGACAGAGAGACAGACACAAAGGTAGAAAAAAAGGTGAGGTGAATACTGTGAAAGTGTTCGAATGTGACATACAGTGGGGTGATGGTTGTTTACAGTCAGAAGTTAACTGCCGATTTAAAGACTTTTTTAGCCGTATGAGTATACGTTGCCCAGGGTGCACCACATTTTTGCTGTATGAGTATACGTTGCCCAGGGTGCACCCGGACTCTTTTGCCGTGTATACGTTGCCCAGGGTGCACCAGTTTGTTTGCCGTATGAGTATACGTTGCCCAGGGTGCACCACGTGATAGACTTACTTGCCGTATGAGTACACGTTGCCCAGGGTGCACCACGTGGTGCCTTATGAGTATACGTTGCCCAGGGTGCACCACGTGGAGCCGTATGAGTAAACGTTGCCCAGGGTGCACCACGTGGAGCCGTATGAGTATACGTTGCCCAGGGTGCACCACGTGCCGTTTGAGTATACGTTGTCCAGGGTGCACCACCTGGAGGTAAGTCTATCGTGAGTATACGTTGCCCAGGGTGCACCACGTGGAGGTGTATGAGTATACGTTGCCCAGGGTGCACCACGTGGAGGTAATTCTATGCGATAGACTTACCCCCCCCCCTGTTTAAAGCCATAAAATTTGCTAGATGACTTGATAATAACATTCAACTTTTTCAAAACTTGGAGGCAAAAGGTAAGTAGAATGGTGGAATAGAATATTATAGTGGAGTCGAATATTGTGGACAAGAATCCGTTCAGTGACTCAGGAGGTAAATAAATTTTTTAACATGAACTACCCAGAAATGGAAATTTGTTCAAGCCGAATAAAAATCAAGTGATGCTTGATTCTTGGAGCATATTCTCAGTTGCTTTCATAACGAAATATCATTATTAATTAATATACGGAGTACCGAATCCTAAGGCGATTCAACTATGCAATCTCACGCGCTTTCAATCACTTTGGGTGTGGGGGGGGGGTGCATTCGTGCGTGCAGTGGACTTCTCAAATAATCAGCTTTTAACGTTCGTTCAAGTTTCATTAAATTTGTCAAGTTACTAATTTTAAGCCGATTTGAGCAAATTGCAGTATTCCTCAATATCGTTAAGGTGGCTTAATTGATTCCGGGATCCCTTCCATACTAGGGTAACTCTGCTATAGACCTTACTAGCGATAGGCCAGGCCTTATTCGTCCAGTATTACGCAACAAGCTTTCAGCCAGAGTAAAAAATCTGGTGATTCAGAATGGGGTTTTAGTATTTATGTCTTAATTTGGTTAAAATTTACTAAAACAACAAGCGACTTTCCATCTTGGATTTCTTACGTTTATTTTAACCCATTCGCTCCAACAAGTTTAATTTTTACCTCAAACAGACATCCTCTCGACATTCCTTACTGTGAAGGAAGGTTGGTTCTTGTAGAAAATAAGAAAATAGGACATGTCGAGTTAAGAATTCACTTTTATTTGTTGTATTAGGTCAAGTTGGAGTGAATGGCCGGCCACATTCGCCATTTTAGGGTGTTCGTCTAGAGCCATAAAAACAAAACATGCGATAATAAAGTAGCGTTTTAATTTAGCTAAATTAATGTTTTCATAAAAGTAGACCAGTATTGCTTTGTGACAACTTCATAATCTGCCACCGTCTTGCTGGTCTCTTAGGAATTAATATTATTTTTTGTCTAAAACGCATAGATGTATGCATAAATCCCACTCTGGAGGTCATTGCTTGTTTAATTATCAAATACTCGCTTTGTAATCTTTGCTATTCAATTTGCTTGTTATGTGGTTGCTGTCTTTCATTTGTTTTGTCATGTTCAAATATTCTTCATTCAACTCTGCCTCATTCCTATCCTGAGGTAGCTGGGTGCGTGCACTTTAAAAGGACATCAGCTCGGATCATCTAAGCCAGACCATTTGCGAAAATTTAGCACTGTTTTGAAGTAGACTTGTCATCGATAATTTACACTCATCATATTCACTTCTACAACATTAATATTTATTTCATTTGACCTAACTTAATCGATTATGAAATCTATTTAAAAGCTATCTATGAGTTAGTCTTGAATGACCACATCTATCAGCAACTTTTACAAAATATATAAGTATTGTTGATAGACACATTTTTTGAATTCGACGTCGATCAAATAAACATGCTTACAAATATAACATACTACTGATAAACGTTAGTAGAATATCTGTATCGGAAATTAGGCATCTATAAATGCAATTCAGAAGGGCCTAAACCCGTACTTAGTGGTCAAAATTTCAGTTGTTTATGAAAGATTATCTTATAAGCTTTGAGGTATAAGTATTTTACATTATTCTTGCATGAACTCTGGTGAGTTCTACATTGCTTAAAGCTGGTTCTTAGATCTCATCGACCAGTTTATGGTTTTAGGAAGATACAAATGAAGTATATAAATCAACCGTATATTTAGATCAAGTTGTCCCGAACTTTGAAATCAACCTGTAAACTCATGGAATCAAATCAGGGGAATTGATATTTAAAAAATTCTCTTTTTTGAAAAGAAAGAACCTTGCTTCTCATGGGTATGTCAAATAAACGATAACTTCAGAACCCTTAGTGCAGCTGACTGCTACACTAGTAAAGTCTTGACCGACTCAGAGATCTCTCTGGCAGTACCTTCTTTATCTGGCTAGACTCCTTAAACTACCTATCCTTCAGCGAAACTAGGGAAGGAAAGAGACGTATTGCACTGAACACGTTTATTACAAAAATTAAGATATAGGCAAATGCGAATAGTTATTAAGTAAATCTAACGCAGTTTGAGTGAAAATTTTCTGCACTCTGAATGGTCGGACAGCTTCCAATCGCGGCGTCGGTTGCCGATTCGGCCCGGATGTCACATCGAGTTTTTGTGTACGCAACAACCTCGACTTAATAATTCGAAGTCATGAGGTTAAGAAGTAGGGCTGTGAGGTGGCACATGATGGACGTTGCATAAAAGTCTTCTCCTCTCCAAATGACTGCAATACCGCGGGGAAAAAAGCTGCTCTTTCTGTCCCCAAAGGGTCTCACGAGCCTGGTGCTATGAAACCAGAATTCAGGAGCTTTGGGAGGTCCCTCAACCACCAATTTCTCCGACGGCTTTTGCATGGCGAATTTGAAATAAGGAGAATTGTCAATCTTTTATTAGAATGACTCATTGTGTGCAGCCTTTGCGATAGCTCATTTATTAATACGTCTCAAGGTAATGTATATATTTCTGCCTGAAAAATATTGTGGGACACGTCATCGCAGGCACGCCCGCCCCAATTTGTAGCGGACTGCTATACTAGTAAAGCCTTGAACGACTCAGAAATCTCTCTGGGAGTATCTCCCATATCTTGCTGCACTCCCTGAACTAGCTGAGCTACAGCTAAGCTAGGGAGGAAAGAGACGTACTTCACAGAACACGTTTATTGCAAATTATGGTCTTGGCAAATGCGAATAGTTATCAAACAAATCTAGCATAATTTAAGTGCACATAAATAATAAAATTTCTCTGAGCAGTGCTCTGCGCGCACGGCCGCTTACTCCAAATCTTAGAGTGTCCCACATTAGAAACAAAAACTCTTTAAATTATGACTTAATTTTATGCTTCTATCCTACCTCTCCCCTTTCTGTGTGTTCAGGTATAACGGCATGGCTAGCACTTACTGAAACACATTAATATTATACGGCATTTTTATTGTTAAAATACGTGATGGTAAATCAGTTTATTTTTCCACCTTAGCTCCCAAGCATTGCATGAATTTAGTTATTTTAGAAAACATGATTAAGCGTGTGTTGCTTCCTCCCAATTGTACTGAAACCGATAAAAGTACCATTTACTTAAACTGCCAGCGGATGTGAGGAATGTGGGAACACGTAACGGCAAGTTGGAATGGTATATATCCTCTAACAGGGCAAACATCTGTCAAAACAAAGAATCCACGGACACAGCTACAGTGCATTTCCTCTTTAAATACTTATCCACTAAGTGTTCGGCTTTCACCCTCCAGTG